TCTCTCTCTCTCTCTCTCTCCAAGCTGTCGTCGGCATGGCACGCTGACCACTCACCCAAAAAGAGAGCTGTCGGGCTGGTGCTACAACTCCTCTAGGCTGCTCACATGTGTGGGTAAAGGTCCACCAAAGCACTAAAACTTGCAGCGTGGGAGCCATAAGAACTGACTAAGAAAACTGGCCTTGCTGTCCCCCACACTGTGGCTATGTCTCTCCCCCATTCCTTTGCTGTCCGAAGGCATTGCCACTAGGAGCAAGGACGCTACTAGGGGCTCCTGGCCTTACTACTAGGAGCAAGAAGCTACTAGGGGCTCCTGGCATCGCTACTCGGAGCGATCGGACGCTACCGGCCGTCCTTGCTCGTCCACATAGCGACTGATGTCCATCATGTAAAGCGGCAAGCTGAGCACCAAGGCCTTGAGTCGAAGGAAGCCAGCTTCACTTGCTGAATGAAAGAAACCACAAAACTCGGAGTTCCAAAAAAACTGCTATTTAAGGAGTTCAGTGTTCAACCTGAACTTTCATCCATGAAAAGCTTGACATGTGCAGCTGTCCAAGCCCAGCTCTAAAAACAACAACCTGTCGTGCTTCAGCGAACCTTCTCAAATCGATTCAAGTCTTCGCTAGCAGAGTGGCCGGCCTTCACCGAACAGCTAGACAGCACACAGAGCGCAACAGTGCTGATGAGATAGTCCAAGAAACTCGGTGAACGATACCGGAGCTCAACTACGAGGCCGCATGGTTGGGACGAGCTCGACGATTTGGTCCGGAGCGCGGTGTCTACAGTGTCTTCGGGACGTCTCTGGGTTCGCAAACCATCCCAGCAATGACTGAACGATGAACAAACCATCGGCGGTGCTTCAACGGTGAACTTCAACAAATTCAGCCCTGCCAAGCTAAGGAACATGAATGAAGATTGACCAACTGTTCACTGTTCTACCTTTTCGAAGTGAGGAATAGGGTTGATGAAGGGATAGGGAAGGTGGAAGGTGGTGTGTTCTTCAGGTTCATCGAGAGCCGAAAGACATGGTGGCAGCGGCGCCCTCGTAGCCGAAGAATTGGTACAAGACACTCACCTCGGCTTATCGGAGTCCAGTCGAGCCGAGCCTCATCCTTTTCTCGGTCCTTTTTGGAAGAAGAAAACCTTTCGTGTGTTTGTTTTGTTTTTCTTTTCGTGTTCTTTCTCTTTCTTATCTTTTAGGCCGTTCTGTTTTCTGTTCCTTCTTTTCCTTCAAAGGACACAAAGACAGCGAGAAACAAAGTTAGAAAGTACAATCTGATGGCATCATCTCAAGCGAGCCGCAAAGCTAACCAATGTTTGCGCACGCAACAGCAATTCTGCCAGGCGCAAAGCACAGTGACTGCCTCAGTTGGTGATGAATGGTTGCCAGTAGCTCGGGCTGTCCAAACTTTGGGTTTTGAAGGGTCTGCTTTCAACGCCTTCTACTTCAAACTCTAGTCACGCTGTGGTCAGTGGTGGGTAACATAGATGTGCAACCCACGAACATGGTTTGTCGCGGCGATTTGTCGCGCCTTTGAAATAGCAGGACTCCTCTGCGAACTGCCTCACGAAATCAGGCAGAAGATCGAAAGTCTGTTTGGCAGGAAAAAATATATAATACTACAAATCAAACCTTCAAATGAGATTCTACCTAATCTAAATATTGCCCTTCAAACACACATTAAAAAACCGACTACTGTCACTCACCAGACTGTCATAGATGTCCACTTCCAAACGCCCCCGGACTGTCAAACGCACTGAAAAACGCACCTCCGAATAAAGGCTGAAACTTTGAAGTCAAAGAGTACCATCCTCGGTCCGATCAGGCTGATCAGGCAGCAGTGACGATTGAAATGTATGGAGAAGCCGGATAGATCTTGTTCCTAGTAGCGTCCTCTTGCTCCTAGTAGTAAGGCCAGGAGCTACTAGTAGCGTCCTTGCTCCTAGTAGCGATGCCCTTTGCTCCTAGTAGCTTCTAGCAACTAGTTTAAAACATGTTTAATATAACATATTCGTCCGATCGCTCCTAGTAGCGATGCCAGGAGCCCCTAGTAGCGTCCTTGTTATATACTAATCTTAGTTTTTTGACGGTTAAAGGATCTCTCTGAAGTCAAGTGGAGCTTGAAAAAGTCGAAGAGTCATCCAGTCATGAAGAAATCTCCTCAACCCCAAAAAGCATCGCAGTCCAAGCAACATTGCACAACGGTTACAAGCAAAGGGACGGCACTGTTGTTGCTGCTCAGCCCAAGAGACGCTTGGACCATACTGAATACATTCAGGGTCAATGTGACGAAGTAAATCCAGAAATTTGCATCCCAACTCTTCCTGTTCAGCAAGTCTCCACAGGTTGCCAATCAAGATGGTCCCAAACACAGAGCATAAATCTCGAATCAAGAACGAAGAAGCCTATAAGCCATCTTGAAGCCTGTTCAAAATTAGTGCCAATTGCATATGCTCCAGATATCTTCAAATACGCATGGAAAAAACCGACGGAGACGCTTCAGACCCTCGCACTGCCTGCATCCCAGCAAATGCAAGAAGCACACCACACGGGGTGCTCCTGTCCTGCGGTGCCCGCCAGGTGGAAGCAGACTCTGGGATGGTCGAAGAATGGTGCTTTGGTGCTTCTTGCTCCTAGTAGCGTCCTTGTTCCTAGTAGCGATGCCGGGAGCCCCTAGTAGCTTATCATGTCTGTTCCGTTTAAGGTCATGAAGCGGATCAGGCAGTCGAAGGAGCCCACGTCACCGCCATAGAAGCTCCGGCGGCTGAACATCCAATCCACGCTCTCGAAGGGGCCACCTGATTTCACGGGGCTGTGCACATTCTCCCTCACTTTAAACATGTTCCATGCAACAGTTTTCCGGATTTCACCAAAGAAAGAAGCACTCTGCTTCCACATCACCCGCGTTCTGATGTCGCCCATGTCCGTTCGCGTCGTTGACTTGACAACACCGTTCGACTCAACGCGAAAGGTGGAGCGGACGAGTCGTTCGCAGTGCAGGGCTCACCTGTGGGCGTCTTCAGTTGGTGTAGTTTGTCGGGGACGCCCTCCATCAAGAGACGGCAAATGACCACCAGCGTGTAGGCACTCAAGAGGCCACAGACCAGGATGATCATCAGATCGTAACCTTGCCACAGAATACAAAAGAAACCAAATTAGAACTGAAGGCAAATGAAGGAAAATATATTTGTTGGAGACCATCGCTATTAGGGTTGAGGCCATCGATAGGCCCAAACCCCCCGACCTACGTGGTCCTGGTGTAGGTGGGGCTCACCCTTGGTGTGAGCGCCAATTGGGCCCCGTTACCTCTGTTGCCATGGAGATGGACAGATCGCGGCTGCCTCCGGGGGCAGCTCGCGAGATCCTGAAGGATTTCCAACTATGGGGGGATGACGGTGGCGATCTGGTCGAACGACCCTCCTTGCTGGTTCAAGATTTGGCCATTAAGACTAGAGATAATCCATTTCTGTTTGAAGCTGGGCATTTGATTGCTAGTGGTCGTGGCCTTCGGCAGTTGGATGTTGACCGAGACATGCCTCAATCCATCACCATGGACTGGAAAGCTACCAGCAAGTCAGTGCTTCATGAAATGTGCATCCGTGGTCTGCAGGGGAATTGCCTCATTTGGAATGCCGCCCTGAACTACCCAGGTCCGGAGCATCAGGGATATCTGTCGATTGATGATGACACCTTGGTACTGCCTTTGAGCAAGCGATCTTCAGGTATCATTCCTGTCCTGCATTTCTTTGGTGGTGCTTGGGGCGGATGGAGCTATGCTTGTCAGCTTTTGGCCGAAAAGGATGTACCGATCATCTCAGGTTGCATCGAGGTGGACTTCACGGCACCTCGACAGTATGCCTTGTCCCACAGGTGCCCGCTTCTGTCTGCTGCACAGGAACTCCCTCCTCTTACAATGCTGTCATTCCCTGAAGGGTTCTGCATTCATGGAGATGTCTTTGAGGACAGTTGGTTACAGGCGGCTGCATGCTGGAATGTTGAGGTGATTACCATCTCGGCTCCCTGCCCTCCGTGGAGTGGAGCTGCCATCGTAAGTTGCATGAGCAGCATGTCCCAGCCTCTCTTAACCCTATGGAGCCTCATCCTATGAGACAGGCTGCTGGTTTTTCTGCTCTGTGTTCTAACTGGAAGGTTGAGGATCCTTGGCAATTGGACGTGGCTGCCATTCGCGCGAGTAATTGCTTTGCAAACTCCTATTGGGGTGCCTCGTTGATGCATTGTATGCTTGATTGGGCGGGTCTCCTCTGGCCCAATGCTGTTCACCCTCCGGATTCTGCATCTTTAGGAGTGTCTTGGAAGGAACTGGTTCTGAGCCTTATGCTTCATCTTCAATGCTATCTTCCGGTCCATCGGAAGGTACCGCCAGATGGGCATTGTTTTGCTTGGGCTAGGTCAGACACAGAGGCACGCGCCTTTAACTACTCATGGAATGAAGTTGCCACACAGTTCTCTTCCATGTTTAGCCAGTTTGCTTCCTTGTGCGGCCATGCGGTCATACCAGAACATGTCAAGCGAGCAAGAATTTGTGCCTTGTATCGACAGGGTGCGGGCAGCTGTGTTTTCGGTCTCTCACCTCGACCTGCATTTCCAAAGCAGGATCAGGTTGCGCAAATAGTTCAGGTGGCATTTCAAAAGAACTTTCGTACTTGTGCCTACAACTGGTGGCCACCCATTGACCTGCCCGTTTCAATGGCAACCGCCAGTTGGTTCATGGAATAAGCTTCAGAAGAAACTCAAAGAAGGTTCAAAGAGGGCCCGTCTGATGAGGGCCTCACTTGGCACTACATGATTGTGTTCGTCTTGGATCTCCTGCTTGTCATCTTCTCCGTGCTTTCTTTTCACTTGTAGGCCGTCTTCAGACTCTGACACTCAGCCCCTCTCCCGCCACCAGCGCCAGGGAGGGGCCTTTATGCAAGGAAAAGCCATCGCTAGTAGGTTGAAGGCCATCGCTATCCAATGTCGGAGGGCTGTACAGATCTCTGTTACTACTAGCGATGCACCTGTTACTAGTAGCTTCTTGTTACTACTAGTAAGGCACTTGTTACTAGTAGCGATGCACCTGTTTCTACTAGCGATGCACTTGTTACTGCATTCCGCGTCTCGATGTCTTTCAAAGTGTCAGCCCTGGTGTTTGCGAGGCTCCGCCGATCTGGCAACTGATTGACGAAACAAAGGCAAATTGGCCAAATTGCCGACAAAAAGAAGAGACACAGAAAATACAATTCCTATAATTACATACTAATTTAAGGGCTGGCTAATAAAATGGATGTTTTAAAAAGCATCCTTTTGTATCCTTTTGTGGAACCGGACTGGAATCTCCTTCCCCCAATCGCTCGGATTCTCTCGAAGTAACACAATGCATAGCAGCCGCCACACACCATGGTGGCCAGCCACACCCGGCGCCGCTCGAGCTCCGAATCATGCAACGCCAAATAGCTCCTGAAACCGTCGCAACAAGCGCAGCAAAGAGAAGCCAAGGACGTGCCCCGGAAAGGGCAAAAGAGAGAAGGAAAGGAAAACCAGAATCAACAGAGGTCACTCTTTTGGAGACTTTGGAGAGCCCTGATGCCAGCCAGGGTGCTGTATAAGAGCCACCAGAAGCTGCGAGGGCAGGAGGCAAGCGACCTGCCAGCTTCGAGCTCACTTCTCCCAAGCGACAAAAAGTGCATCACACGACGACTAACACGACGACGAATGAATCAAGGATACGATGCGACTGAGGCACATGAATCTTGTCTCCGACATAGATCAAGTGGAACAGCGCGAACATGTTCATCCAGGTTTCAATCCTTGGACAAGTGCAAATCTCCGCAGAGATGGATCCGGCAAAAGAACCCCTCACAAGAAAACGAGAGCGGGTGAACCGATGCCATACATACTACCAGTTCATCAGGGTTTTATCAACGACAAACTCTCAATTCCCTTCTTCCACTGGTCATCACGCTGTTGGCCGGGAGGCCAAAAGAAGCCCAGGACCTGCACGATGCTCAGCTGAAAGGAGGAGGCCCCCAGCAACGACATCCTCAGGACTGACACTTGTCGAGTAATCCTTGTTGTCGGAACTCTACCAATTCACTTTTTTGCAAGACTCACCTAAAGTGAAAGAGGTCCTGAGGCATCATAAGGTTTGCATTGAAACTGACACTGAAAATGTAACGATCGAAACCTCGGTGTTTGTAACTGTCTGTATCTGACATGACCATGTGGGATTGATACCCAACAAGGCACGTGCGCCGTGTCGTCCGCCTCCGTGGGGCTGCTCGGGCGGCCTGGCAAAAAGAAAAAGCGAATGACTCGAATTGCTCAGTCTGGCATCGAGCCCCGTTAGCGGCCGATCGCTCCTGGTAGCGATGCTAGGAGCCCCTAGTAGCTTCTTGCCCCTAGTAGTACGGCCAGGAGCCGCTAGTAGCGTCCTTGCTCCTAGTCTGGCATCGAAATGCTTCGATGCACAGTGATTCCACCCTAGTAGCGATGGCCTCCAACCTACTAGCGATGGCCTCCACCTGAGAAAACTCAAGATGGACCCTGTAGCTATTCCTGGAACAAATCATTTGTAAATAGTATCATACTGAGTGAATCTTGACATTCTTAACTTCGACCTACAGCTGGCGGAACACTTCTGGAATCAGATGTGTTACCAAATATGAGTGCCCAAGCGCGCAAAGAACAATCAGACCCCGCAACATGGTGGACATTTCTCCCCGATTTGCCAGCTTTGAGATGACTAAGAGTGAAACCACTCCAAGCATCAAGTGCCACGCTAGTAGTAACAAGTGCCTTACTAGTAGTAACAAGAAGCCATTAGAAACAATTAGCTATCATGAACATCACCAACTGATGCCTCCGCCCACCGTTGCGCTGCTTGGGAGCGTTGCTGTGCCCGCGCGATGCGGGCGTAACCTGGGTGATGGCTGTGTTGGTCTCTTTTCCCCAAATGTGCGATGCACTTGTTTCTATTAGCAAACATTGTTACTACTAGTAAGGCACCTGTTACTACTAGTAAGGCACTTGTTACTACGCTTTCTGGGATCTTTAGTACCAAATGCTTGACGAACAAAGTTCTTTTGTCTCTTTGAAGGCTGAGGTGTTGAGCCGGTTATTCGCATGAAGTCCACTTTGCACCAATTCATTTGCAATTGCCGAGAACGATTCATTCACATGGAATCGAACATGCACTGCACCGTGCTGTGCGAGAAAAGTCTCCGTCATCCGATCGCCCAAAACCGACGCATGAAGCCTTACTAGGAGCAAAGGGCATCGCTACTAGAGGCTCCTGGCCTTACTATTAGGAACAAGAAGCTATTAGTAACAAGTGCCTTACTAGTAGTAACAAGAAGCTACTAGGGGCTCCTGGCCTTACTACTAGGAGAAGGGCATCGCTACTAGGAACAAGCTCCTTTTGAATTTAGAGGGAAAGCCCTCCACCCTAGTAGCTTCTTGCTACTAGTAGCGATGGCCTCCAACCTACTTGCGATGGCCTCCACCTTATAGCGTCCTTCAGCTACCCAAAGCTCCTTTTGTTGCCTGAAAGCCTGTGAGTCCTGAGCGTACAACTACTCTCGGGTCACCTTTCACCCCACAGTGCAACCAGCGTCCCTGACAGCACAGCCTGATCAAAAGGCTGCAAGTCGTTATGGAGCAAGGAAATGGACCCAACTAATCTAGAAGTTCTTGGAAAGAAAAAAACACATTCTTCAGGATCCAGGTCCATGATATGGAAATGGGTCCATGTGCACTGTTCGACGCTGTTGTGGGTACCAGCCCAAGCGGCGATCCCGGCGATCGGACAACTCCAGATCCTCGCTATCACTGCCTGGGCAGAAGACCACTAGCTACTAGCTACTTGCTCCTAGTAGTAAGGCCAGGAGCCCCTTCTAGTAGCGATGCCCTTTGCTCCTAGTAGTGAGAGCCATGGTTGTTGCCTGTTACCTTCTACTTAAAAGGCCTCAAATCCAAGTTTCGGGTTTGCGGCAACGCCACCACAGTAGGCCCATAAATTGAGGTTATTAGCAATGCACAACACGAGTTGGTGCAAGAAACTTCAAATCGCTGCATAGCAGAGGATTTCGTCTCCGAACTCCAGAGAGGGCAAGAAAAGAGCGGTGCAGGGTTGTGTCGGACGTTCCAGTGAAATGAAGTCTTACTCATGAAACCCATTCAATCGACTCGATTCAAGAAAAAGAAACAAGCCTAAGAGTAGCGTGCTTTCCGCCCTTGCCACCACACCCAGAAAATGGCCAAGCTGTTTAGGTAGCACAACACTTCCTTCTTCAAAGTATACCTTCCTTCATACCTTTCACATCCTCTCAGCCGAGCTTCTGTCCATAGCAGCCCATTCGGAGTTCTGTACAAACACTTCCACATGCTGCTTTCCTTCACAGGGCTCACAAAGGCTAGGTGAACACAGCTTCACCGCTTTTACCCGTACTCGGATCTTCAGAAACTAAAGTGCTTGTCTGCCTCCAAAAAAACAGCGAAAAAGAATATGAAAAACAATCCGAGCTACTAGTAGCTTCTGAGTTTGCGAGGAGCTAACAAGTGTTTCCATTACTTAATTAAGTCGATGCCTACTTAAGTAAGGAGGCAGGGCCACGGGGCGGCCACGGGCTTTAAAAAAGAAACGTTCGAGCCGGGCCGGGCATCCTCACAAACCCTGAGACCCATCGGGACCCGTTGGGACGGCCTCGGGAGGCCTGATCTTCATCGGAACTCTCGAAGTCCACCTGAGGCGAACGAGGACGCTAGTAGTAACAAGTGCCACGCTAGTAGTAACAGGTGCCTTACTAGTAGTAACAACGAAGCTACTAGGAGCTCCTGGCATCGCTGCTAGGAGCAAGAACGCTACTA